ATTGCCTTCTCCGAAGCTACCAGCTAAGGGATGTATTACTTCCATTGCCTTCTCCGAGGCTACCAGCTATGGGATGTATTACTTCCATTGCCTTCTCCGAGGCTACCAGCTAAGGGATGTATTACTTCCGTTGCCTCCTCCGAGGCTACCATATTACTTCCATTGCCTTCTCCGAGGCTACCAGCTAGGGGATGTGTTACTTCCATTGCCTTCTCCGAGGCTGCCAGCTATGGGATATATTACTTTCATTGCCTTCTCCGAGGCTACCAGCTAAGGGATGTATTACTTTCATTGCCTTCTCCGAGGCTACCAGCTAAGGGATATATTACTCCCATTGCCTTCTCCGAAGCTACCAGCTAAGGGATGTGTTACATCCATTGCCTTCCCCGAGGCTACCAGCTAGGAGATGTATTAATTTCACTTGTCTATATGTTACCTCCCTCCCTTCGTCTTCTTGGTGTTCTAAAATGGGGGAAATCCCTCATACTAGTTTCAACGTGCCATCGGAGGTTTCAGTACCTGACGAGAATGCACGGTTCCACCGTCAGGGTTGTGACCATTTCTCAACAATTTTCCGTGTTTCTACGAACCAGGATCTGATTGATTCGCTTCTGCTATTTCCTGGGCCTCGCTCGCCTTTGCCCTGCCATTACCGCTTCGCTTCTCATGAGAAGAATTGATATTCCTTCATACAAAATTTTCTTATGTGGCCAAACTTCCCAAATTTAAGCACTGTCGTACTGTTGCAAGGAGGTTACATACTTCAGTTTTCGTATTGCAAAAATATGCATGAGGGGACAATTCCTTAGTTTTAAATGTCAAACATATTGCTCTCCACTCGTCCCCCCCACCCCAAAATTGCTCCAGTCGTCTCTTTGACTCTCGTTTTAAGCCTGACTGCGTCAATGATCTGGAGAGGTCTGGGATGTTCGTTCTGATTACCCGAGTTGAGCTGTTGCATCAGATTTTCTCACTCCATATCCTCGGGTACATCTTTAACGACTGACTTTTTATAATCATATATGAGTATCTCGGATTAAACGTGACATATCAGTTGTTGGTCTACGCCAATGTTGTGAATCTACTGGGTGATAATGTAGATACTATAAAGAAAAACACACAAACTTTAATTGATGCAAGTAAAGAGGTTGGTTTGGAAGTAAACATAGAGAAAACTAAGGATATGTTGCTGTCTCGTTGCAGGGCAAAATCATGATATAACGACAGAAAACAGATATTTCGAAAATGTGGCACAGTTCAGATATTTGGGAATGCGAATAACACATCAAAACCTGATTCAGGAGAAAATTAAGAGGAGACTGAACTCGGGTAATGCTTGCTACCATTCAGTCCAGAACCTTTTGTCTTCTCGTCTGCTGTCCAAAAACATAAAAATTAAAATAAAGTAAATCAAGTAATGCTATCCCTGTAGCAGGCCGTGGAGGCCCATAAGGTTGTGAGACGTAGAGGTTCCCACGTTTTCTAGACAATCGGCTCGCAGATGGCGGTAAGCTTATCAGCCTTACGCGCCGGCCGCCCTTTACCCTCAAGAATATTCTTGATACTCATTTCTGTTAGAGGCTGAGTCGAACCCAGGGCTATAGTGCGGCTGCAAAGATGAGCTAAATTGAATATATGCACTTCATCAGGATTCGATCCCGCGACCTTCCGGTTTGTAGCATAGTGCCTCAACCAACTACGCTACCGTGTACCCCCCAAAAATTAGAATATACAAAACTATAATTTTACATGTGGTTCTGTATGGGTGTGAAACCTGGTCTCTGACACTAAGGGAGGATCATAGACTGAGGGTGTTTGAGAACAGGGCGTTGAGGAGAATATTTGGACCGGAGAGAGATGAAGTGATAGGAGCCTGGAGAAAACTGCAAAATGAGGAGCTTCATAACTTGTACTCTTCTCCAAATATAATTAGAGTGATCAAGTCAAGGAAGATGAGATGGGCATGGCATGTAGCATGAATGGGGACAGGAGAAATACGTATAGGATATTGGTGGGAAAGCCAGGAGGAAATTGACAACTGGGAAGACCAAGGCGTAGGTGGGTGGACGATATTAAAATAGATCTTAGGGAAATAGGATGGGATGGTATGGATTGGATTGATCTGTCTGAGGATAGGGACCAATGGAGGGCTCTTGTGAACACGGTAATGAACCTTCGGGTTCCATGAAATGCTGGGAAGTTCTTGAGTAACTGCAGAATTGGCGGCTCCTCAGGAAAGGTTCGGCTCCACGAATGAGTAAGTGAGTGTATCTCGGAATGTATGCAATTATCCCTTCATTTTGTCTGACAGGACCATCCAAAAATTTATTTGCTTTCATTCTCTCTGAGGAGGTCACTTCAAAAATAAACCGGGCAAATTTACTAATGAATTAGGAACTTCTTTTGGATTTAGCCGTAACATTGAAAGATCAATTGGATCCCATTTCTTTTCCTTTTCCTTCCCCTAATGGGGCATGGTGCCTCTTGACTTTTAGGTGGATATTGAATTGCTCTTTCTTCGTCATTTTTAAACGTATATGATTATTCTTTTGTTACTCTGAAACGTTCTCCAATGTCTCCCCCCGGCCCCCGGACTTACTTGTAATTTCAATTCCCAGGCTTTGCGCTTCAGAATCTGCCTGCGGAACTGAGCCTGGTTCTATTCTGTTCTTGGTTTCGTTATGATTCTGTGACGTGCTTATATTTTGGGTTTTATTACTACTCTGCTTTGTGTCATATTTTGCAGATTTCTTTGTTCTCTTTACTGTTCCTCGCGGTTGTGCCCTCAGTTCCCCATCTGATGACAATTCAGGTTCTGTTCCTTCTGCAAGTCTCTTCTTTGGTCTGATAACCTTATTCTTTAGCTCCGCGTAGTCCATGTCTTCCTTCACCACTTCCTCCCCAACTACGTCACTGATTTCCCCTTCACCCCTTGTACTCGTACGTACCGCTATTTCTTGGCCACTTGCCCTTCTTTCAGAGAGCCCACGCCCCGAAGTACGGGGACTGCAACCGTAGAAATTTTTGAAACCCGCACTTAATTACTTGTCATTTTTATGTACCAAAATCAACAATAAAATCAGCAAAAAGCAAGGAAATCGAAAATTCATTATTACATTCAGACACCACACTCAGCCTTCTCAGACTGATTCCACTTTTCGTTACTTAGTAAGTGCTCTCAACAATGGCTATTGCTCTATAAAGTTGTCGCTAAATATTTCATGGTAACGAATCTTAACAATGCGAGTTCTCCAACTCCTGTGCGCATGCCTGTCCTGTCCGACGACTCTTAGCCGAATCTTTATAGACCAGTAGTTCTCAATCGCCAGACCGCGACCCGGTAAGTTCTCTTTTCTGTAAGACGAGGGCCCGGTACCGGGCCGCGGCCCGCCGGTTGAGAGACACTTTTATAGACGAGTTTGTGATGAAGGTGCGTTGAGACATCTGTAAAAGCTGTCAAGAAATAAATCACATTTAGAGGAGTCGGGATAGCTCAGTGGATATAGGGACGGCTGGAGTTCGATTCCTGGCAGTGGAAAGAGATATTTCTGGACTCCACAGCGTGAAAACTAACCTCCTAGCTAATGGGTACCATGGGCCCTTCCTGGGTGTGAAGTGCCGACGTCAAGAATTGTGGCGGTATTCCTCCATTCCCCAATAAGTCTTCATGGCATTGTGCTTTATTAATTAAGCCCAGGGACCGCGTTACCTTCTTCCTTCTGTAATTCAGTACCGAGCAGAAGGAAGACTATCTCGTACAGAAGCCGCCCAACCGCGGGAGGGTCCTGATGCAACTTCACTTCGCGACGCTGTCAGTTGCTCAGACTGCAGGGCATCGAATCTTAGGAGGAATAATGAATTATAATTTGGAAACTTTATTTAAGGAAGTGACCTACTTCAAATTACTGTTTTACCATTCTTTTGAAAGGACTGAAGAAAACCGCTACAAATCTCAGTCAAGATATGCGGTGACAGATTCGAACCGTGCACCTCCTAAATACAAGTCAAAGGTTCACCGCCTGAAACAATTTGTTTGGTCACTGACAAAAAAAAATCAGATTATATTACTGTGATGTTATTGGCTGTTTCCGTGCGTGAAGATGTCGCTAGTGACCACTGCTGTGACGTTTCGCGTAGCAGATCAGACAAAGGTCAGAGATTTTGTATTCGTCTCAATTTTGATTATAGTTCACTCATCAACCCATCACTCTTCGTTATTGTCTAGGTACTGAAGCTGTCGATAAATGATCCATAGGAAAATAAATAAATATAGTATATAATTCTTAAGCGTTATGCGAACTATTTAATGGTTAAGTTATTCATTTTGAAAACTGAGAAACACAGAATAGTTTACTGTACTTCTTTTGGCTTGTTTTGGACTTCATCCATCATCTGGTATATAAAAGACAAAAGACCACGACGTTTCGGAGACTGGATCTGTCTCCGTCTTCAGGTGTGTAGGGAAGGATAAACCTACTCAGCTGGGCCCGTTAGAAAGAGCTAGTCTAAATCACTGGTCTCCGAAACGTCGTGGTCTTTTGTCTTTTACATACCAGACGATGGATGAAGTCCAAAACAAGCCAAAAGAAGTACAGTATACACCAGCGTCAGAATGCTTTCAAGTCTAACAGAATAGATTGTTCTGCAGTGCTCCACTGAGAGGAATTCTTGCGGATATGAAATTCATGGACAGTGGCTGAATGCACAAAAGAGCAGAGAGGAAACGAGGGTCTCCTCAACTATTCACTTGCACAATATGACAATTAACCCATGGCGATCCAGATTAACTGTTCTGCAGATTCGTCAGCAACACAGCCGAAAGCGGCAGCATGCCCATGCACTGACCCCAGGGAGAAGACCCCCCACACCGATGATCTCGTGTTGCTTGTTCCCCTCCGGAAATGTCCATACAAAAGGCAACATCCGTGCTTAAAGCTAACCAAGGCCATGGAAGGGGACGCCGTTCGTTTTGTGGTGCAGAACTGAGAGACACTTTCGCTAGTGCACTTCATCTGGTTTGGTGTGGTTAGGTGCATGAGTGGACCCCAAACGTGTGCCTCGTGGTCGCTAGACGGGACAGTGCCGCCTCGTTACTGGCCCTCAAGTAACATGTCAACTTGATTATCACTGGGACAAGATTCAAAATGAAAAGGAAACATTATCTTCCCAGTATGGTGCAAGCAATCACAGTTCTCACTGTATTAAAAATGTTGACCAACGGTAAGTACTTTACTTCTTTAAACTTTACAAGTGGGGACACAATTTGCTTCCAAATTTACACACTTGGACCAGAACAATATTTCCTACGATTTTTAGAATATGAGAAAACGCCGCCTTCCTTCGTCTTTTTTTCCTCTATTTTGTGACTATACAAGGATATTACAGATAATTTAGAAGTAAGTTGTTCAGAAATGCTGATTTCTCAAGTCGGTGCGCTAGGGCTGCAGTATGCGTGTCAGTTGATGTGATTCAGAACAAGTGCGGTAGGGATGCAATATGCGTGTCAGTTGATGTGATTCAGAACACAAGTGCGCTAGGGCTGCAGTATGCGTGTCAGTTGATATGATTCAGAATACAAGTGCGCTAGGGCTGCAGTATGCGTGTCAGTTGATGTGATTCAGGACACAAGTGCGCTAGGGCTGAACTATGCGTGTCAGTTGATATGATTCAGGACACAAGTGCGCTAGGGCTGCAGTATGCGTGTCAGTTGATATGATTCAGAGAACAAGTGCGCTAGGGCTGCAGTATGCGTGTCAGTTGATGTGATTCAGAACACAAGTGCGCTAGGGTTGCAGTATGCGTGTCAGTTGATATGATTCAGAACACAGGTGCGCTAAGGCTGCAGTGTGCATGTCAGTTGATGTGCTTTAGAACAGAGGTGCGCTACGGCTGCAGTATGCGTGTCAGTTGATATGATTCAGGACACAAGTGCGCTAGGGCTGCAGTATGTGTGTCAGTTGATGTGATTCTGAACACATTTACCTGGGCCCGCTTGCGAAGGTCGCATTTGCAGAAATATCGCCTTTGAAACGTAGGCATCTATATAAATAAAAACGTATATGTTGGTTTGTGCCTTATCAAAGATCTCCGAAAGTTCTTCACCGATTGCTTTGAAATTTTGACACAACTTTACATTCGAACACGTGCGTGCTTTCATATACCTATTATATAGATGTCACACCCGTGACAGGTAAAAACAGGTAAAAGTATTAATTGTATTCAATATAATATACTGTAACGTGTTATACGTCGTCCATCGAATACCAACAAATCGTTGCCTAGGAATAACCGTGGCAAAGAACTGTTGTGGCAACGAAATTTTCATTTTGATTTTATTATTTCGTGTTACATTGCGTTGGAATTGGGCTGAGTCGTTTACCGTAGCAGTCATTTCGTGAGTATAATTTATTTTTTGTTGTTTTTCATTTCGTTTTCTTAACCGTTTCCCTTATTTTCCGGTGCAACTGGCGGTCGGATTAGGCTGTGTCGATTGATCTGCGTTTGAATTGAAATATTTCGTCATTTTTTTTTTTTTTTGTTTCTTCTTTGTTTTCCAGTTCGTGTTCTTTCCTTTTTTAATGTTTTGCAATTTCATATGTTTTTGTTATAACTTTCTTCTTCTTCAGTGCAGTCGTTTCCATATTAACGCTAGAACAGACCGTTGCATAGGATAATAGGTTCCGTTGCATAACAACGGATGAAACCGGAAAGTATACTTCCATGGAAACGCGAGTATCACGGGGTCACAAGTATCACAATAGATTCCGAGTGAAATCGAAGCAGAAACAGTTTCGATTTATTTTCATTTTGATTTAATTATTTCGTGTTACATGGCGTTGGAATTGGGCTGTATCGTTTACCATAGCGTTCATTTCGTGAGTATAGTTTATTTTTCATTGTTCTTCATTTGGTTTTCTTTACTGTTTCCCTTGTTTTCCGGTGCAATTGGCGGCCGGATTGGGCTGTGTCGATTGATCTGCGTTTGAATTGAAATATTTCGTCAGTATTTTTTTTTGTTTCTTCTTTGTTTTCCAGTTCGTGTTCTTTCCTTTTTTAATGTTTTGCAATTTCATATGTTTTTGTTATAACTTTCTTCTTCTTCAGTGCAGTCGTTTCCATATTAACGCTAGAACAGACCGTTGCATAGGATAATAGGTTCCGTTGCATAACAACGGATGAAACCGGAAAGTATACTTCCATGGAAACGCGAGTATCACGGGGTCACAAGTATCACAATAGATTCCGAGTGAAATCGAAGCAGAAACAGTTTCGATTTATTTTCATTTTGATTTAATTATTTCGTGTTACATGGCGTTGGAATTGGGCTGTATCGTTTACCATAGCGTTCATTTCGTGAGTATAGTTTATTTTTCATTGTTCTTCATTTGGTTTTCTTTACTGTTTCCCTTGTTTTCCGGTGCAATTGGCGGCCGGATTGGGCTGTGTCGATTGATCTGCGTTTGAATTGAAATATTTCGTCAGTATTTTTTTTTGTTTCTTCTTTGTTTTCCAGTTCGTGTTCTTTCCTTTTTTAATGTTCTGCAATTTCATGTTTTTTTCTTCTAACTTTCTTTCTTCTTCTTCAGTGCAATCGTTCTGCTTTAGTTCATCAAATAATGCCTCGCAGAAGATCAAACTTAGGTCGTCATACTCGCGGAACGGAAGCAATGCATCGAGTAATTTCAAATCAAACTGGGGAAGAACGGGCAGACTGAGCCACAGCAAGGCGTGGCCGGGCATAGCTAGTATTGTGTATATTGAGACAATATCAGTAAGTACAGGGCTACTATGAATGATTCATTCGTTTTTAAAACGCTATCTTTTCAAAAGCATTATACGCACAAATATGATTTATATATAGAAAGAACCGTAACCTCACCGAGTTTTCCTTACACTCTATAAATGTTCTATGTATACCCCTTGGGTCACACGACACACGTCCAGGCAGTAGTCGAGCTCGTTCTACACATTTTGTAGCATCATCCTGTCAATGGTCATCACTGCAGCATCGATGCGTTCCCTCAGCTCTACTAGTATTCTTGGCAGTCGGGGTATGTAAACACGATCCTTAATGTACCCCCAAAGGAAGAAGTCACAAGGCGTTAGATCAGGTGATCTGGGGACGAAGTGAACAGAGCTACGTCATCCTCACCAACACGCCCAATCCAGCGATGCCGAAGTTCATTGTTTAGGTAGCGATGAACATTGCCGATACCACCGCAAAATGCTTTGTTTACATGGCCGTTCTTTTCCATACTCTCTTTTTAATGCGCGTTGCACTGCTATAATAGACGAACATCTCGCATATTCCAACAAACAAAAACTCTTTTCTTGCTTTGTCGCCATTTTGTAAAGGCACTGAACTCATGCTGCCAACTGGTGCACAGATACAAACATGGAGAGTTTATGGTTCTTTTTATATATCAATCATATTTGTATGTATAATACTTTGGAAAATATAGCGTTTTAAAAACGAATGAATTATTTATAGTAACCCTGTATTTTTATTTCTTGTGCTTTACGTAAGCAATTGAAATTGATGCGCATTGACAAACAATAAAATATCATCAAAAGTTAAACAGTTCCGTCCAGTGTGACTGGTAAAGATTTTTCTTATTTCAATTATTTATGCCCTTACATGTTTCGGTCTTCAGAGACCATCATCAGAGAGACACCTTTACATCAATACAGTTGGAAGTTACTATAATAATACATGTTCTGCTTTGGTTGGCATAATTAGGTATGATGCTTTTCTTTTGATATGTTCGATTGAACCATATGTGTGCATTGGTTCTTAGTAGTTTCCTTTTCGTACTGATGTAAAGATTTACCTTTTTTAGCTTGACTAGCTTCGATGAATTTGATTTGCTAAACTGGCAAATCAATACATCAACTTTCATGATATCGTTCCAGAGTGAAACAAAGGAAATAAAATATGGCATTTATAATTTATTTTAGAAGTAACTGAATCTTATGATTTCGTGATTTTGCTTAAGATCTATTTCTATAGTCACTCTATACATATGGACCATAACTTCACGCAAATTGTCGTCCTCGTGCATATGAAATAAATCAAATGAAGGATCGCGTTGCCGCAATTCCTGACGTGCACACGTCCAGATGCTCATGTTTATCCGATCCACACGTTGGTCTTCATGACTGTAGCTCTTCTTATAATAAGAAACAATATCTACACGTTCGCCTGTCATGGCGTTCAGAATTGTAGAGTGCAAAATACTGAGAAGTTTGGTTATGTAATGGCCATGCTTTGGAGTGTTTACGTGATAGTCAGCATAACGAAGTAAACTAAGTAACTCGCTTATTTAGCAATGGCTCATGAATTACTGCACGAAACGGAACACGCATGTCTCGCTTGTAATTATCATTAACTTCTATTGCAATTGCAGTTTTCCTTTAAATTTATGGATGAAACAAACAGCTTTACAGTTATTGCAAGGTTATTAATTTATATACGGAGGTGTTAGTTTCCAATGTGGTTATTTTTCTTATAAATGTGAAGATTTAGAATGATTGTATAATTTCGAATTTTTAGATGTCTTTCATGTTGTGATATCTGTTTCTACTTTCAAATGCACAGAAATAAATTTCTCTTTGTCAGGCCACATCTTCGCAGCAATGCTAACGGTAAAGAAGTTTATATTTGCAACAGATGAAGTACACAAACTTTACTGCCTGCAAACTCCGACCCGAAATTTCTGTCCGAGCAGTCCTATACCAGCCAGTCCATATCGGACTGCGAATTTTCTCCAGTCTTAACCAACCTCAGCAACAGCAAGTACTGACAGTACCTAGTACAACGTTTTTATATGACCAACAAAACAATAGCGAATATTGATACGCATCTGTCAGATTTAACTTATCATATATTTCCACGACCCCTAAATAACTTCTGCTTGCAAAAGACCCGACGATGAATATCTGCAAATCAGACCAATACAGTGTAAGATTTGAGGTTTTCTTCAGACCAATACAGGTTTCATGGTTTCAGAATTTCACGGCGATTATTAGTTGATATTAATTTTCTTCTTGAGTTGTGACACCACGTGCTTGTGCACTATATTTCCGGCGTTCCGGGGATTCAGGTTTCTCCCATCTTAAATGTTGAAGATGGAAACTGCATTTACTTATGAAACGTCTGAAATATTGCCCAAAACCAGAGGGAGTTCTCAGTAGTGCCACAACTGTAAAGTAAATAAACA